ATCAAATCCACTGCACTAAGTCTGATGATTTTAGACATTCTAACAGATTCCTTAATCATTAGCATGTAATTGACATAAAGATACTTGTGAAGATGAGGCCAATTTAATTAATGGGTGTTGGCAAAAGTTTAGAAACAGCTCAGGCATTATTTATTTATTTTTAGACTTTTATTAAGATACAATAATTTACTAAATTGTTAATAATAGATATATTTTAGGCATATAATGTTCCCAAACTAATCCCACTACCAGTGTCTCACTCCTTTTGCTACTGTCCTCTGGTTCCCTCCCACCCCAAGTCTTACCCCTTGGCAGGCATATAACAAATTTATGTCATACTACTTACTTTAACAATACTAAAAGAAATGACAAGTGGATTTATCAAAACATAAATTAATTAAGTCAATTTGTGATAATTTATTGCTATGCGATTTTAAACAATGTAAATTAGATATTAATTCATTATTGAAAATGTATAAAATCCCTTAGCAAATTAGGAGTAAACATATCTTTCTTATTCTAACAGAGGACAACCATACACACCATTAGTGAGGGCCATACTCAATGCCACATGTTGGGAAGCTTGTCCTGTTCTTCAGAGAACCTCTTTTACACTGCTAGCAAAAGTGGCTGTGAATTTCCCAAGCTATTGCCTGTCCATGAAGCTCTGTATTGGTCCTTCAACTCTGAATGAGCCTAGATGAATAGAATGTTTCTGGGTCAGGTGTTCATTTTGTTGAGATTTTGTACTATATTCCTCCATATTCCTCAGACTCATAAAGTCTCATTTGATAGATCTACTATACATCTTATGAGAGCTCCTTTGTATGTAAGTTCATTTTTTTAAATCTTGTTTATTTCAATATTTTGTCCCTATCTCTAGATTTTGTCATTTTGACAATGTGTCTTGGAATTTTCCTAGTTGGGTCTATTTTTGCTGGGACTTGTGGGCCTCTTAGATCTCAATGGCTATTTTTCTGAACTATAAGAAAATTTTATCCATGATTTCTTTAACTATTGTTTCTTCCTCACATTTGCCCTCTGTTCTTCAAGGAGTCTGGTGATTCTTCTGTTGTTCCTTTGGAATAATTTCATAGTTCTCTGGCATGCTATTAATTTCTTTTCATGCTATCTTCTGCTGTTTCCTAGCATTTTCCTCCTTCTCATCTTGGAGCTCTTTAATATTTTTGCTCAGTTTCTGTTACTCTGCTTTTCAGAGATTCTATTGAGTTTTTAATATCACCTGCCATGTTCTTCATTTCTATCATTCCTGATTCTCAATGTTTTTTGAATTTCAATTCATACTTTCTTGTGCCTTGCTGACTACCTGTGTCATGATTTCTTTAAACTCATTGAGCATCCTTATCATGGGTTACTGAAGACATTGCCTAAAGATTTTTTGGTGTCATTTATGTCTTCGGTGATACTGTTTTTGCTCATCATCTTGGTGGGCTTCTATGTGTTTTTCCCATTGGTTTTCTAGTGTTCTTGCTGTGATGGGGGAGGGGGAGTCTTTGTAGTTAACCCCCCTGAGAGATGCCCAGGGATTAGGCCAGGATTGCTCTCTTCTCTGCCCAGGAAGGATAACTGTAAGCAACATGTAATTTATTGGGTAGATCTGTCTTGAGGCAGAGCAGCAAACAGAAGGTCAGGAGCTCTGGTGGGGATCTGTCTATATGGCACAAGTCCTGTGGAGATTGCTGGGACCTTGCTGAAAGGGCGAGGCTTGGCCTCCCATCCTGGATTAGGCCCGGTGATATCACCCAACGCAAGCCTCGCCTGGAATGGTGGAGCAAACAGGTCAACTCTGGTATGATTAAGACAATATGATTCAACAGCTGATATTCTCCGAGAACAATTTTATGTTCATATTTTTACCACCAAACTTAGAGAAGGAAAAGAGTGAAGTCAGGGAAATGTCATCACAGGGTCAAGGGAGCAAAGATGGAAGGAAATGATATAGTCCAAGCTAGGGAAGAAAGGAGAGAAACTGAGACAAGTGAATGTAGTAGTAAAATGGCAAAATTAATCGCATTACTAGAGTGTGAGTTCATCCTTTGGAGAGATGTGGGAAAGGATGATTTGGTGAGCAATAAATATGTAACAGGAACTGACTAAGAAGCTTGAAATCAGAATTCACGTCAGAATGAAAATTGGGAGGATGGCTAATACTTTAAATGTTCATATATTCCAAGTGAAATGCCCAAGTTATCCATCAAGGCTAAGAGAAGACTGATAACAGAAGAGGACAACAAGTTAAAATGCAGGAGTGACTGACCCCCTGAGGCAAAGGATAGCAACACCTCTCAAATCACTGCCCCTCTGAGCCCATGAGTAGTTTAATATGAAAGTCTTTGTCCCTCTTACATTATGAAACCTAATGAGATCATGGCTGGAGATGGTATGACGGAACTTTTGTGGCTAAGTTACACACGATTCTATTTTATTCCCTAATCTTTGTGATGAAATCACTATTGTGAATTGAATCAGAGTTCCACTGTCGCTGGCATGGGAGTTATTAGTCTCAGTACACATTTTCCTCTTTACCAAAAATGGCACTAACAGCTTAGGATCATGTTCATTTGTGGAAAGCAAAAATGGAAAAACTATGAAAATCACTTTAAATCTCCTTTGGAAAATGACAGGAAAAATGTTAGTGTCAGATTTTTTTTAAGACTCAGGATTAATTTATCATCCTATAAATGAATTTTTGGTTGAAATTTTTTAGATGTTGACAACATATATTTTAAATTAGAGAATTGGTTTTGTGGGTTTTATTTTTTAAACAAAAGTTATAAATGTTACTTTACCTTTATAAGTAAAGATAATATGACGAACAAAGACCATTGTGGTTATTTGGCTAGACATGTACTCAAATTTTTCTCCGACTTCGCTGAGGTATTTTCCACACACAAAATTTGCACAATACTTAGCCCTTGCATGTATGAGACTCTAGGTTTGACACCTGGTACCGCAAAAAAACAAAAAATTAAGAACTAGCACAATGGGATAAACTTAGAGACAAAGAGAAATTTGTTCTTTTTTTGTTGATGGTGGTGGTAATTTGTAAGCTACACCTGGCAGTTCTCAAGTCCTACTGCTGGCTCTGTGATCAGGGATCACTCCTGGTAGTGCTTTAGGAACTATATAAAGGTGCTGGAGATTGAACCCAAGTTTAAAGCAAGTTCCTTAACCCATTCTATCTCTCCAACCTGAGAAATTTGTTCTTAAGTTTTCATACTCTTCTCTTTGTGTCATCTCTCACCAGAGAACATGAATATGTCCATATAGGATGGTAGCATATTTGTGATCATAAATTAAAGAGAACATTCCTATGATATGCAACTTGTGACTTAGATTTTACTATTTGACAGTTAAAAATGAAACTCATTGAAAATGGCAATTAATGGGGAGTTCTAGACCTAGCTGACTTTAAGGAAAAAGAATGAAATAACCACAAATTTTAGACATGTTGAGCATGTTCATTGTGTTAAGATATTTGGGATTCTTCCTAATAAGCTGTGTAGAGGTTATGTTTAGGAATAAAGGTGTCAAAGCAAATAATCTCCATGTTCTCACAGTGCTGGCTCAGGACCTCGCTCTAGCTATAGATGTTTTATTTATTTATTTATTTATTTAATTGTTGTGGGGGTCACTCTTAGTGTGATTCATGCCTGGTTGTGTGTGCTCCTTGCTGTCCTGAGAGGAATCCAACCCTGGACCTCACCCAAAACAAGGCTACCACTTAAGCCACATACCCAGCCCTTTGCTTTAAAATGGAATACCTAGCGTTCTCTGCTCTGTAAGAGCAATTAAGTTCTTGCAATTGTTTTCCAAAACCTGATGTCTATTTCTGAGACTCAAGAAAAATCCCTAGCTCCTTTGGTGTTTTCTTTTCTTTTTTTCAACACAAAACCCTTAGTAGTAGAAGATATTGCTTTGACACAATAATGAAACATAGTTTCTGTTCCTTGTTTGGTATATGTAAGCACTCTGCTTAGAAATGTTCAGTGACTACCGAAGCCAGGTAATAGTGACTCCTAGAAAACTCTGATCAGCGTATCTTTACTTGTTCATTTTAGTTTTGTCAAGGTGTTGGTTGAAATTAGTCATAGTAAGGTACTTGTAGCACAAAAATAGCATGCAGCACATCAGGACTCCCTCCCATGGAGAACTAATTGTTTAACATTTATTAGCACAAGGGGAGCTTCATATGTTTTACCTTAAAATCCTCATGACAATCTTAGGACGGATTATATATTCATTATATTATTTTTAAAATGTACTCAATTCTAATTTGGGGGTCACACCTATATATGCTCAGTGGCTATGCCATCTCATTGCTTAGAGATCACACAGTGATGCTCAGGGTACCATAGAGGATTGAAGATAAACCCAGTCCCCTGCATGCACGCATGTGCTCTCATCTTTTGAGTAAACTCCTGGACCCAAAATTTATTCACTTTTATTTTGCAAAGGAGCCAGAGAATAAAACTAATAACCAGTTTACCACGTCCACAACCCTTATCCTCCTTCATTTTAGAAATTAATTAAATGGGAAAAGGAATGGAACAGTATAAAACACAGACCATGCATCATTTGAACCTGGATTCTGCCTGCCTCACACCCTGTATGCTACACGTTTTATTTTGTTTTTATCTTTTGGGCCACACCCAGTGGTGTTCAGGGCTTTCTTCTGGCTCTATATTCAAGGATCACATCTGGTGGGCATGGGGGACCATAAAGGGCACTGGGGATTGATCCTGGGTTGGCCACATGCAAGGCAAATTCCGTACCTCCTATTCTATTTTTCTGACCCCAGTATCTGCTACATGTTTTGAAGGCAGTACGTTATGTTTTCCTTAGTATCACTTCTATTTGTCATTTATTACAGCCACCAGCCCTTCTAAGAAAAGGGTGGGTCCTATTGATAAAATCTCCGGCTCTGTTACCTGCTCTGAAGAAATGCTTTTCTGTGCTTCTCCATCTTCTTGCTGCAGGTGGTTCATTGGAGATTGGCTGGAGTGTAGCAAGACCTGTGATGGTGGAATGCGCTCTAGGGCAGTGCTCTGCATCAGGAAGATCGGACCTTCTGAGGAGGAGACACTGGACTACAGTGGTTGTTTAACACACCGGCCTATCGAAAATGAGCTCTGCAACAACCAGTCATGTCCACCTCAGTGGGTGGCTCTGGACTGGTCAGAAGTAAGAAAATCTGAGGCTATATGTTTTGAGATGTCTTAACTATCAGTGCCAAGGCATTTAATATTAAGGACACCTGAGCATGTGCGCATCTTAGAACCCAACAAGTAAGGATTGCATGACAGTGAATTTGGCCATGTTATATTATATTGCTGCTTGTCCGGAAGTAAGAGGGCTTGGGGAAGGAATGAGATGATGGAGGTCAAGAAAGTTGGAAAGCTCTAGTTATCAGTTTGATTTAAAATGATCCTAAAATGATGTCAAAAATATAGCAGTGAATATGCATATTATGGATTTTTCAACTGAACTATTCTTTTTTAATTGAATCACTGTGAGAGAGACCACCACAAAGTTGTTCATGACTGACTTTCAGTCATATGTTCCAACAGCCATCCCTCCACCAGTATACAGTTACTACCACCAATATCCCCAGTTTCCCTCCTGCCACCACCCCAAAACCCATCCCCCCTCTTAGCCCGCCTGCCTCTATGGCAAGCACCTCTCTTCATTCTCTTTTTCTCCTGTTGTGCATTATGGTTTGCAGTACAGGGACAAAGAGGTCATTGTGTTTGTTCAGAGTGTTCAGCATTCTTATCAGGATTGAGCTTTTTTAAATTTATTTATTTATTTATTATTTTTAACTGGGTGGCCATTTTTGGGTCACCTTGGGTGAGCCATAGCCACCAGTCTAGCAGAACCTGCCCAGGGGCCGCAAGCCTCCATCCTCCGCCTCCAGACAGTTGGCACTCAGGGAGGTTTTCCTCCATAATATGCTGTGGGTGGCACTCATATTATGAGTGGCGGACTGAACTGAGGAAGAAATGGTGGCAGACACAGCCTCCCACAGTGGGAACCCAGTGGCCCCCCTCAACTGTAGGACCAGCATTTTGCAGTAGTGTCAAGTTGAACCGGCAGAGTCCACTCATTCATGCTAAACCTCTGCCGCCATGGGGGACAGCTGCCTGCAGTGCCAAGAGCTGTGGGAGATCAGTCAGCTTCAGGGCCCATGGGCAGTGACACTTTCCTTCCTTCCTTCCTTCCTTCCTTCCTTCCTTCCTTCCTTCCTTCCTTCCTTCCTTCCTTCTTTCCTTCCTTCCTTTTTTTTTTTTTTTGCTTTTTGGGTTACACCCAGTGATGCTCAGGGGTTACTCCTGGCTCTGCACTCAGGAATTACTCCTGGCGTTGCTTGGGGGACCATATGGGATGCCAGGGATGGAACCTGGGTCAGCCACGTGCAAGGCAAACACCTTCCCCATTGTATTATCGCTTCGCCCCAACTCAGCTATTCTTGAGTAGTCTCAGACTCAGAATTGGCAATCTGCTGCTTGCTTTTTTTCCAACTATAATTAATTCTGAAACATGAATCTTGTCTATTTAGTATTAGTTTTTATAGAGTTGATTACTTCTATTGCATCTGGGAGAGAAAATAGAATTGAGGCTCAGCAAAATGTCAAATTCAGACTTTATCATTACCTTCCATTATATGATCAGTGATGATGACCTGGCTAAGATAATGGTTTTCTGGCACACATTTCTATAAAAGAATCCAGTAAAATTACCAGATCTCCAGAAATAAAACTGGTCTTATGAAAAATTAGGTAAGAGGCTAAATTTAATGCTTGACTCCTCAGTCTCCAAGAGACATACACATACTATTCTCCACATTTCCCAAGGAGCCTGATCCATACATAGTATTGGTGGTTAATGTGAAAAAGAATGTATACTTCACTATATATTAAAGAACAAATTTCTGAAGTTAGTAAAACATACATTTCCTGCTGAAGAAATTGTAGCACTTGCTTTGGGATTTCCTATAGACTTCATAAATTTGTTCTCCAAAATAATAATCATTGATCTTCATTAACCTCTGAATATAACAATTCCCCTATCAATCTTACAACTTGAGTGGCCTTATTTCCTAGAAGAACAGGGCTAAAAGAGGATCTGTGTTTAAGGTAGTACAAGGAAATGGAGAATATGATTATTTGTGGTTATCCATAAAATTTTGGCAGGAACTGGGAGTGTTCTTCCAAGTTTCCTGGCCATAGATCAGCTTCAGAAAGTATGTTGTGCCTACATAATTTTCATTTGTATTTCAATCAAATGTAGAATTTTTAATGAGAGTATTCACTCAATAGTTATGGAAAATAGCATGCACTCTTCTTTTCTCCTAGTGGATAAATTGCCTTCCACATTCATTCAAAGGACTAAATCCACTGACAAAAAATAGATGATCTAGAGTTATGCACATTAATAATTATATTACTTGGAATTCAGGGCCCAAGTTAATTTATAGAATTCAATGAAGTACATAAAGGAACACTGATTATGAGAACAAATATATTATTGGAAAACTATAGTGGGGAAAGCTGATGAATAGCTGTAACAGTTTTAAGGTTTTAGGTTGTCATTCAGCATAACTGAGCACTCATTAAATAAATTGGACAGCTACTATGAAGTACCTTCTAGGATACAAAAGAATATTAGAAGAGCATGCTCACGATCACAATCATCCTGTTGTTTGTCCATTTTCTCGAGCAGGTATCAGCAATGTCTCCTTCTTCCTAGCCCTGAGATTTTAAAAGAGCCATTTCAATGCTTTGGCATATTTGGCATATTGAGTACAACATGGAAGTTTGCCAGACTCTGCCATGCGGGCAGGATACTTTGGGTAGCCTGCCAGGTTCTCCAAAGGAAAAATAAGATGATAAGATGTTGTGCGGCCGCACATGCGGCCATGTGCTTTCGGGAGCTGGGTTTTATAGTCTTCTGTGTCTTGGCCGTTGATGGGACCAACCCAGCGCTGGTGGCAGCTGGTGGGTGTGACGCCTACCTACTGGAAGATGGGGGTCTGGTTGGAGAAGGCCCAGTCCCTATCCGAGTAGGCTTGGAGACCCGGGACCCGCATGCCTGGGTTCCTCTGTCAGTTCTTACATGCATGAGGCCCATCCAGACGTGTGGAGAGTGGTCCCAGCATGGCCGTGGCTGGCTCCGGAGGTCCTCAGCTGCTGGGGCTCTGCTCGTGGCAGGGGGGGGGGGGAGAGAAACTCAACCCTCCCCCCTCCAGGGGGCCCCGGTGAGGACAGTGGGACCAGGAGACTCTAGAAGAGCAGGAAATAAAAAATACCTGAACACATCTAAAGAATAAGGACAGTATTCAAGAAAATGGTGGGGGTGGGATGGGGGAATATTCTAAGCTAAAGGTATTAGTAATGTGGAAATTCAGTGCTACAAAGGTCAGAATGGCCTGCAGTAGGATTAGCGACTTCAGAGTTGATGGGACTGAACTGAATATTGAAAGATATGAAATTTAAAGGTGGGAAAATCAGAGGGAAGCTGGAGAAAGTATTTCTGATGAGAGAAAGGACTGACAGAAATACAAAGATTATGTGATAAAAGAAAGGCGAGAAGAAAGGGTTTGTTTTAAAGATTAAACAGAAGGTGAGGGGCTGGAGAGATAGCACAGCCAGTAGGGTGTTTGCTTTGCACGCGGCTGACCTGTGTTCGATTCCCAGCGTCCCATATGGTCCCCTGAGCACCACCAGGAGTAACTCCTGAGTTGCAGAGCCAGGAGTAACCCCTATGCATCGCCAGGTGTGACCCAAAAAGCAAAATAAATAAATAAACAGAAGGTGAGATTGGACCAAGTAGTGATAGGTAATAAGAAGGCTTGACCATATCACATTATCTTTATACAGAGAGTGGAGAAAACCACACAAGTCCATAAGCAGCTTCCAAAGGAAACATCTGCTCATCACAGAAAAAGTAAAGCCTCTTCATGTGCAGACTTATGTCAGATTGGTATCTTGACCTACATTTTTAATTGTCATTCAATTTTTTTAATCATAAAACAGTCAAATAACATCACCCCAAGAAATAGTTTGCATATATTACTGTTATGTTTTCAATGAAATTGCCATTTGAAGTGTTATCTTCTACATGTGACCTCAGGTACATTGTAGCTATCCTACTCTTAATTTTTTTTACCACATAATTTATGCTAAAAGACATTTTATTTGCATATTTTTCCTACCTCTTTATTGATATAAAGGTAAATTGATATAAAAACAATTATATTAAACACAATATCTTTTGGGATCTATGAGATTGAAATATATATACTTTTCCCCCACTTTATTTTAACACTGTGGTTTGCAAAGTTGTTCTTGATGATTTGTTATAGACATTTAATATTCTACCAATCCCACCACCATTGTTGCCTTCTCTCCACCATTAATTTTTTTAATCTTATCTGTCCACTCTTAAAAGCGACTTGCTCAGAAGTCTCTAAGGGACTCTTCAGAACTATGGGGGCTGCCTATTACCTATTGTAAACTAAGGGGGCTTCTAATCACATCTGTGCTCTTCTTTTCAAGACAGTCAAGCCAGAGCATAGGAAAATGAGGTGGTACACTGGTATGGCATACACGCATAGACCCTACCTGTCCCAAACAAAGCATTGGTATTTGAAGACTGGAGAGATAGTAAAATAATAGGGTGCTTACCTTGCATGTGGCTGACCTGGGACTTGATTCCCCCGCATCCCAAGTGATCCACCAAGCCAGCTAGGACTGCAGGGATAAGCTGTGAGCAATGCTGAATGTGAGTGACTCCCAAACAGAACAAAAACAAACCAAAAAAGCATTGCTATTTCTATAGGCAGTGCAGGAATGTTATTCTGTGCATACCATAGATCAAGGAATGCTGCTTTCAGGGCTGGGATGATAGTATAGCAGGTAGGGTGCTTACCTTTCATGCAGCAGACCTGGATTCAATCCCTTTCACCCCATATGGTCCTCCAAGCCTGCCAGAAGTGATCCTTGAGAGCAAAGCCAGAAGTAAGCCCTGAGCACTGCTGGGTATGGCCAAAAACCAAAACCAAAAAATGCTGCCGTTACTGTCTTAAGATTCTGGCTTTTGCCCTGTACGGTTTCTCCCATTTGTGTTCCAAAGAAAGGGGAGAACTATAACCTTTCCATTTCCTTACTTGGCTCTGAAATCTA